TCGGGTGTATTCAATCTGCATAGTTATGACAGTTTGATTCCACTTTAACTCCCTTGGCTGCATCTCACAGAGTACCAGGATTTTTGAGTATTTAGAATTACCTCCTAGAGAACATTAATCAGCCTGAACTACAGCATTAGAAACTCTAATTACTTTACCAAACAAACTATAAATCTCAGAACTCCAATAGAATGGTACTTGGCCTTGGAGGGAGATGAGAGGCAAGCACAGCTCCATCACGCCTAGACACAGAAGCAAATGAAGATCCATCCCAAATGCCCTGGCCTCAGCGGGAGGAAACAAGGCAATATCTACAGGACTTAACGCCTTCCCACCCTGCCATCCCCTTTTCCTTTTATGCCATGCCTTAATTAAAATGTATGCCTGAGGGCAGGGAACTGTTTAGTTGTTCTTTTACTTGTAAAACACCATATACAGAAATTGCACTATATTAGTAGTAGTAGTATCAGTATTATTAAAAACAGTTAAATCAGGGTCCCTCAAACTAAGGCCTACAGGCCAGATGCAACTCTTGAGGGTCATTTACCTGCCAGCTGTTCTAAACTTTAGACTTAGGATCGCTCAAAGTCTGAAATGACTTGAAGACACACAATAACATTTTACAAATTAACTTGATTATCTCATCAGCTAAAAGCAAGTAGCCTCTGGTGATGCAACAGGTTAAATCCTTTTGCCAGCAAGACTGAAGACCGACAGTTCAGAGATTCGAATCCGGGGAGAGCACGAATGAGCTCCCTCTGTCAGCTCCAGCTCCCCATGTGGGGACATTAGAGAAGCCTCCCACAAGGATGGTAAAACATCAAAACATCTAGGCATCCCCTGGGCAACATCCTTGCAGGCGGCCAATTCTCTCACACCAGAAGTGACTCGCAGTTTTTCAAGTCACTCCCAACACGAAATTATGTTGATAAAAATTGTTCATTTTAAATATTTTATTGTTCTTTTATTTGTTTTACACTACAAATAAGATGTGTGCAGTGGAATTCGTTCATGGGATTTTGGCCTGCATAAATAGGAGTCTAGTGTCTAGATCCAGGGACTCGTGCTACCTCTCTATTCTGCCTTGGTCAGACCACACCTGGAATACAGTGTCCAATTCTGGGCTCTGCAATTGAAAGGAGATGTTGACAAGCTGGAATGTAGGTGACTAAAATGATCAAGGGTCTGGAGAATAAGCCCTATGAGGAGCAGCTTAATAAGCTTGGCATGTTTAGCCTTCAGAAGAGAAGGCTGAGTGGAGACATGATGGCCATGCATGAATATGTGAGGAGAAGTCATAGGGAGGAGGGAGCAGGCTTGTTTTCTGCTGCCCTGGAAACTAGGACGCGGAACAATGGCTTCAAACTATAGGAAAGGAGATTCCGCCTGAACATGAGGAAGACATTGCATTCAAAGTATCCCTGACAGATGGTCATCCAGGCTCTGTTTAAAAGCCTCCAAAGAAGAAGCTTCCACCACACTCTGGGGCAGAGAGTTCCACTGCTGAACAACTCTCACAGTTAGGAAGTTTTCTGCTTCTTGGCAGGGGGTTTGACTGGATGGCCCATGAGGTCTCGTCCAACTCTATGATTCTGTGGTTTTTTAAAAAAACTATAATCCAGTCCCCCAACAGTCAGGGACTGTGTACCGGCCCTCTGCTTAAAAAGCTAGAGGAGCTCTGAATTAAAGTGTTATCAAAATAGAGTAAAAGTGTAGTGCGGATACCCCACATGCCACTATTGGAAGATAAAATATAATACTGACAGTTCTGCTGAGCAACTGCAGAAGTGAACATTTCAACAGTTTTGTTACACAACAAATTGCAACCCTTGCAACAAATTAGCAAAGCGCAATTATGTTCTGAATGGTAATCCGATTCTCATGGATGTGCATGTCTTGTAAGCATACATTGGTGTGTTTGTTTTTAACTGCCACCGAATCGACTTTGACTTATGAGAGACATCCAAGTCCTGCTGGCCTCAACAGCCTTGTTCAGGTCTTGACGATTCAGATCTGCCCTCCTTGATTGAATCTATCCATCTGGAATGTGATCTTCCTTTTCCCCCACTGTCTTATACCTTACAAAGCCAACTGAATAAGCCTGGTAACATGTTCAGTCAATCAGTTATAATTTTCATCAGGAGGCCAGATGAAGTAGAAAGAGTCGTCTTGATTCTTCCAATGCAGGTAAGTGTTTCAGGATGCTAACTGTATTCACAGGCTCTCCATCCTTAAGTGTGTCTGGAAGAAAAACCATCAGCATCTGCCTTTTGGCTGGAATCCACTGTTTGATCATTATCTGTATGGTTTGACTCACATAAAAAAGAATGTAAGGATCCATGTTGTATAGTATTTAAGCAGCAAGAAGGCAAGCTGCTGAGATGGCCGCACTGTAGTAAGTGAGAAGCCAAACAGGTCAAGAGTTGGGATGTGGCAGAAACAGTTCCACGAAGGAAACTTTTTGCAAGATTATCAATCCTGAAATACTCCAATTTGACACTCAGGTAATATACTATTACCACTTACATGTAGAGCTGGGAAATCCTGCTGAATGGTAGATTTTTCCCCTCCCAATTACTATGTGAACACACCAAAAAGACAGAGATCAAGCACTCTGAATGTGATGACAGTTTATTTCAATTATTAATGGCAATTCATCATAATGTACAGTAATGGTACTTGTAGCACAGTGAAGTCTCTGTAATAAGAACCCTCAGTTGAGCACTCTGCCTATTGCTTCTCTTACATTAGACATTATTGTTAATATTTTATGACTGCTTACTGTAATAGGAGGACATGTTACTATGCTTCGACATGTATGGCTATGCATTTACACTTTCATCTGATGTGCACCTACCAGTAATACAATAAATACAATACATCTTTAAATTACTATGGTGTAAAGTAGGCAACTTCTCTTTCCCTTTATATGTCAGTTGTGCCATTCCAAACATCTAAATCCTGTATACATTTAAGTCGGAAGTAAATTTCACTGATTTCAGTACCCTCAAGATGTTTAAGGTTGAAGCCCAAGTGTTCTTCTTTGTCATTACCTTTAGATAGTTCAAGAACATGAAGTAAAGATTTATATTCTTATTTTATTTCTCTCTCCAAAGATAAAAACAGTTGAAAATCATTTTGACATGTGATAAATGAATAGAATTGAACAAAACTTCAGATACTAGCATGATATAAAATATTCATACGGAACTAGAATTCAAAGTTCTCATTTTTGGAAACAGAATGGTTAATAAACTGAAATATCTTACAAATGATGCTATTTTCTTTATTTAATTAATACTGTATTAGCCAATAAGACTGCTTTGCTAATTAATCTAATTTTCCAACTATTTATTTTACCCTTCTACAATGCAAAATGTTCCCATATTAAAAAGGATTCATTTTAATAATTTGTATTTTAAATTGTCTCATCTTTATAAATAATAATCAGTAATTTCACATTGCAAAAGGTATTAGTAATGTCGGCACAACATTTCTTACAACATGGAATTCTGTTTATCATTAGCAGAGACTGGAGGACGAAATGTGAGCTACGACAGAACAGCTTCTCTACTGGTATAGTAATTTGAAGGCAACGTCCAACAGCTTGCAGATTTTGTTAGCCTTGTCAGACAGCCAAAAACTATGGGCACCACCAACATTCTCCTGGGTCAAGGGAGGGGTGAGCCTCATCCCTTACATCACACTGAGCTTTGGAAGCATTCAAATGCTTTTCAAATGCCTACAACCCCCCAGTGAAAATGCCAGAGTGTCAGGATACTCATTCTGCCTGCAACCTAGAGGAGTTTGCTCCCAATGCCATGCTAGGTTTCAAACATATCCAGGAAACAGCCAAACTTGCTCCCTGCCCCCACCCCACATTTCTAAACCCCAGTATGAGGTCAGGGAAAATCCTTTATCTTCCTCTGCAAACAGCAAATTGCTGATGAAATATGAGGGTTTAAGCATGGCAAGGGCCACATTTGTCTCTCATCGGATGATGAAAGGTGCGCCTACTCCTGGGAAGAATATTATGGACCTCTAGTAAAAGGCATCTTCCATCCTTGCTAAAACTTTCCCCTTATTTTCCACAAACTTGCAGAGGGGAAAATTACTCTGTATTTATCCAACGGGAGTTGCATATTCCCATTGATTTTAGTATAACTCATTTCTGAAAAGAATAGACCAGGCATGGGCAAACTTCAGCCCTCCAGGTATTTTAGACTTCAACTCCCATAATTTCTAACAGCTTCAGGCCCTTTCCTTTTCCCCCTCAGCTGCTTAAGCTTCAGCCCTCCAGGTGTTTTGGACTTCAACTCCCACAATTCCTAACAGCCTCGGGCCCTTTCCTTTTTCCCCTCAGCTGCTAAGCTTTGGCCCTCCAGGTGTTTTGGACTTCGACTCCCACAATTCCTAACAGCCTCAGGCCCTTTTGTTGTCGCTTAAGCTTCAGCCCTCCAGGTGTTTTGGACTTTGACTCCCACAATTCCTAACAGCCTCAGGCCCTTTTCTTTTAAAGAAAGGGCCTGAGGCTGTTAGGAATTGTGGGAGTTGAAGTCCAAAACACCTTGAGGGCCAAAGTTTGCTCACACCTGGGATAGACACTCTGGATATAAATACACTTGATGCTATATCACTTGAAAAGGAAACTGTCACTTTTAATTAGCTTACATGTCCAAGATGTACATTTCTCACAGAACTGGAATATAGTTGTGTTAGTAATCTGTAGTTGAGGCAGGCAATCTTTAATCTTGCTGAAAAAAACACTGGAAAAGCTTTGGAGTATGGCTTTCAAGATATCTCCCCAAGCACTCTGCTCCTCTTGAGATCTTTTTCAACTACTGCTAACATACATATTTTTTTTCTGTACCATTTGGTTTTTGAAAGATGTTGAGATATATTTGATATTTTAAGTTAAATTGTGTTCAGAAATAGCCAACTGTCAGAATACAGTAAATACTGGGAATACTATAGGCAGTGAGATTAATCAATTTACATACCTGTGGTTTCTCAAGTTCCCAAGCCTAGTCATGTGCACTCTCTTCATTTTCTCATACAGAGCAAAAATAACTTCTGCCAGTGTATGTATTTGGTTTCCATACTGCCATCTATAGTCAAACAAGAGAAATTAGACATCTGTTAAATCTCCTAGAAGCCAACTGTCATATCCAAACTCTTATCCTAGACTGTACTAACAAGACTAAAGCTTTCCTAGCAGTAATAAAGGCACAGAGAGACTACGGTTTCTTCTATGGCACAATCCTCCTATTCACACCTATTAAAAACTGGTCTCATTGAGTCCAGAATTTTCTGGGGGATTAGCAGTGCAGCTTTAAAGTATTTATTTTATCTCACCAGATTATTGAAGGTTAAAAATTAAAGTAAGACCACTTGCTGCCTGGTCATTTATTCCTTTTCACTGGAAATACCTTACTGTTCAGCCTCCCCCGTGGTCAGTATCACAACATAAATAAACCACATGGAAACATTCCTAATTAGGCTACCATTAGTTACAGCAATTCCACTTTAAGCAGCAATTTTAAAGGGCACAGTTATTCTATAAAGATTATCTTAATGGAAGAAAATCTTTAAAGATGAAGTTGGTTACAACAAAATGAGTTTAGAGGGCAATCCTAATCATGTCTACCTAGAAGTATAAACCATCAATCCAATGTGGCAAATGCAGAATTGTAATTGAAGAATATCACTTTCATGTCACAGAAGTTTTCTCCATTGTATTTCAACAGATGTACTATACCAGACAAAACTGCTTTCTCACTTAGCATTAATTGTAGGACTGCAGTGATTTTGAGAACAACGTGAATACAAATTTGATCTTTTTCTTCTAAGTTATATTAAGGACATTACTAAAGCATTAAACTTAGATTAATGTATACTCCAATTTGCAAGGCAAGTGTTATAAACTGTAAGAAGTGGTTATAGCAGGCATGGGCAAACTTCAGCCCTCCAGGTGTTTAGGACTTCAACTCCCACAATTCCTGACATCCAGTAGGTTGTTAGGAATTGTTGGAGTTGAAGTCTAAAACACCTGGATGGCCGAAATGTGCCCATGCCTGTACTATAATGACAATTTCCCAGTAATTATTTATTTTCTCTACAACCTGTGTTTTATGCAACCAATGAATCTGCTCATTTCAACCAACAAACCATCCTCAACAGTTATTTTCCCTTGTCAAGATAATTGTATTTACTCCCATATGTCATTAACGAGATCGTGAGAGACAAGTATCCCCATCCTTGCACTTTCATACTCTTGCCATCACAACTGTTGTACTAAGACTTAACTTTGAAATAATGACTTTACCTGAATCTCAACAAGAGAGCCAACTACAGTGCTTAATAGCATCCCACACACCACACAGTAGCAATCTTGAAATCCCACTCAAGAAATGTTGTGTTTAGCGCATGGCAAAGCCTCCCTGCCCAATGAGTGCCAACTCCTTTACCAAGGTGTACAGGCATGCTGCTTTGATGCTCTCCCTCCTACTATATCCCCACAGCAGAGAAAATAAGATTGAAGAAAAAAGAGGGAAACTAATGGAGACCCTCCCCAATTCATCACACACAACACACAAGATATAACATTTGAACTTTGCCGGAATCTCAACAAGAGAGTAGCGAAAGAACACCCAACTATATCACTTTGTAGCATTTCACACACACTAGTGCTTTAAACTCCTTCTGCCTTAAAATCCCCACTCAAGAAAGACTGTGTTTTGCTAGTGCTATGGTCTCCTTCTCCCTTGAAATTTCTATTCAAGAAACATTGTGTCTTGCTCATGGCAAAATCACCTTGTCCACTAAATAATAACTCACTCACTCACCAAATGTGCAAGCGAGTTGCCCCACAGCAAGAAAAGATGAAAGAAAAACAGAGAGGGAAACCAATGTGGACCCCCTAATCATCAAACACATTGCAGTGGTGCAATGGGTTTAAATCCTTGTGTCAACAGAGCTGCTGACCAAAAGGTTAGGGGTTCAAATCTGGGGAGTGGACTGGGAGATTTTGCCATGTGCAATGAACACTGTTTCTTGAATAGGTATTTCAAGGGAAAAGGAGACCAAAGCACTAGCAAAAAAATCTTTCCTGAGTGCGGATTTTACCACAAATTATGTAGTCAAGTTTCCCGCATTTGGGGAAATTGCAGGGGTCAGCACACTAGAAGGACTAGTTTGTGTGAAATGCCATGAAGTGATATAGTGGGGTGTTCAATCGCTACTCTCTTGTTGAGATTCAGGTAAAGGTTTGCCCCTGACATTAAGTCCAGTTGTGTCTGACTCTGGGGGTGGGTGCTCATCTCCATTTCTAAGCTGAAGAAATGGTGTTGTCCGTAGATACCTCCAAGGTCATGTGGCCGGCATAACTGCATGGAGCGCCATTACCTTCCCGCCAGAGTGGTACCTATTGATCTATTCACATTTACATGTTTTCGAACTGCTAGGTTAGCAGAACCTGGGGCTGACAGCGGGATCTCCAGGGCCACTCCCTAGATTCAGATTCAGTCAAAGTTTAAATGTTATATATATCTTGTGTGTGTGATAAATGGGGGGGGGGGGTCCCATTAGTTTCCCTCTTCTTTCTTCAATCACATTTTCTCTGCTGTGATGCTATGGCAGGAGGAAGAGCATCAAAGCAGCATGCCTGCACACTTTGGCAAAGGAGTCGGCACTCATTGGGCAGGGAGGCTTTGGCTAGCGCTAAACAGGTTCTCATGCGGGGACATGAGAGAAGCCTCCCACAGGATGGTACAACATCTAGGCATCCCCTGGGCAATGTCCTTGCAGACAGCCAGTTATCTCACACCAGAAGCAACTTACAGTTTCTCAAACTGCTTCTGACACAACCCCCCCCCCCCACACACACACACACACACACAAACACACAAGGCATAGAATAGATACTATTTGGACTTTCAGTCTCAACAAGAGAGTGGCTATTTAACACCCCCAGTGGCGCAATGGGTTAAACCCTTGTGTCGGCAGGATTGCTGACTGATAGGTCAGCAGTTCGAGTTCGAGGACAGCTGAATGAGCTACCTCTATCAGCTCCAGCTCCCCATGCGGGGACATAAGAGAAGCTTTCCAAAAGGATGGCAAAACATCAAAACATCCGGGCGTCCCCGGGCAACGTCCTTGCACACGGCCAATTCTCTCACACCAGACGAGACTTGCAGTTTCTCAAGTCGCTCCTGACACATACACACACACACACAAACCAACTCCAGCACTGCATGGTATCTCGCATGCTGCACAGAGAGAGAGTGTGTGTTCTAGTCTTCTCCTTTCTTGAAATTCCTCAGAAAACACTATTTTGCTACTGCTCTGTTTTCCTCCTTTCTTTAAATCCCTTCAGGAAACGCTGCCTTTTGCACATGGCAAAGCCTCCCTGCCTGCGATGTGCCAACTCACTTGCCAAGGTGTGCAGGCACGCCGCTCTCTCTGGGGCTCTTCCTCGCGCTACCTCCCCACAGCCAGGAAAGGGACGGTTCAAACAAAAACAGAGAATGGGAACCACACAGAGAAGAATAGATCAGGGACGCATTTTGGAGACATAAAGCGAACTCGGGGGGGAGGGGGGGAGGAAGTGTCCCCCTGAGTCACTCACTCTCTCACTCACTCACTTCCACCCAAGTTAGAAAGATGCCTCGTGGGATCCGAGGCACAAACCCTCCCCAGTCGCGGGTGCCGGGACCTGGCTGGGCTTTGCCCTCCTCCTCCTCCTCCCCCACACTGCCCCCCCCCCCGCAACCGCCAGGGGCTGACAATGCGGTGAAAACGGGTGTTGCCCACCTGCGCACATGGGCTCCTCCGCGCCCTCCCGCCGCCGCTGCTGCTTCCTCAGTCTGTGTGTGTATGTGTCGGTGCCGCAGGATGAAACGGCGGCGGCGGCGGCTCGTCTTTGCAGCTCGGTGGGCTTCCTTCCTTCCTTCCTTCCTTCTTTGCTTCCCTCGCCTCCCCTCCAAAGAGCCTCGCACTGCGGCTGGTGCCGCTCCTTCGCCGCTTGGGATTCCAAAGGAGGGAGGGAGGGAGGCAGGGAGGGAAGGAAGCAAGGGAGGAAAAGGGGTCCTTCCACAATCCGCCACGCTTCCCCTCTCCTCTGGCTTCACACACAAAGTCCTGCCTCTCCGGGTGCCCTTCCTTCCTTCCTTCCTTCCTTCCTTCCTTCCTTCCTTCCTTCCTTCCTTCCTTCCTTCCTTCCTTCCTTCCTTCCTTCCTGCCTCCCTTCTCTTCTTCCTTTTTATCACATGCCCGAGTGAGTCTCCCTCGCCTCGCGGAACCTGACTGAGGAGACACAAATACTCGCCCCCGGTCCCCACACACAGCCAGTCACCTGACAGGCTGCTCCTCTCTCGCCTCTCCACACCCCCCCTCCCCCCCTCATCTTCCTTTCCCTTGGCTTTCTCCGAACGAGGCCGGGGCCAGCCCACCTGTCTGCGCCCCCTCCTCCGCCCCTTCCTTTCCCTCTTTCCCTCCGCCCGCCCGCCAGCCAGCCGCCCACCCAGCTTCCGCGCTCTCTCCCCTCGGCTGCTTGTCCCTCCTCCCCCTCCGTAGCCACCCACCCACTCTTCACCCACCCACACAGCCCTCGCCCAGAACAGAAGCCGGCAGCAGCAGAAATGCACACGCGCCGCACGCGGAGCAGCCCTTGCCTGCCTCCCTCCCGCCCGCGCGCGCGCTCACTCACTCTGCGCGAGGCATTGCGGAGAGATGGGTTGTACGCACACCCACACGCACATTACAGATACATACAAGCGCACACTTTCTTCTCTTTCTTTCCCTCAAGGGCAAATCCGGCAAGAGAAGCCCGAGCTCGCCTCAGACACACAGAGAGGGGGCGGGGGGGAGGGCGCAGAGCCGCAAACCCGTCGCCTGCCTCTTTTGGCGGCTCTCTCGCCCTCAAAGCCCTTCGCGCGCCAGACGTAAACACCGCCGCACGCGGGCCAGGAGCGGGTGAGGAGGAGGAGGATAGGATGGATGCAGTTTGATCTCTCGGCTCAAGGCTATGGGATCCTGGGAGCTTTGCAAGGTCTTTAGCTTTCTCTGCTAGAGTGTAACTGCCTCCCCAAACTACAAATCCCAGGATTCCATTATAGCAAGCATGGGCAACGACTGCTCATTGGAGGGAAAGATACTAGAGACAAAGTTGAAGTACTTTGGCCACATCATGAGGAGACAGGAAAGCCTAGAGAAGACAATTATGCTGGGGAAAGTGGAAGGCAAAAGGAAGAGGGGCCGACCAAGGGCAAGATGGATGGATGGCATCCTTGAAGTGACTGGACTGACCTTGAGGGAGCTGAGGGTGGTAACGGCCGACAGGGAGCTCTGGCGTGGGCTGGTCCATGAGGTCACGAAGAGTCGGAGACGACTGAACGAATGAACAACAACAAAGCATGGGCAAACTTAGAATCAGAGTTGGAAGAGACCTGGAGGGTCATCCAGTCCATCCAGTTCCATATTGTCTCCTGCCTGTGTCATCAGTGGGAGCCCTTCCCCCAGCACCAACTGCTGCTCTGGGCCAGAGTGAAGAGAGAATTAATAATAATAATAATAATAATAATACTGGCAAAAGCGGGCTCTCCATGGACAGTTCCTGGAAAAAATTGAGAGCCAAATTGACAAAGAAAAAACATGGCTGTGGCTCACAAATGGAACTCTGAAAAAGGAGACAGAGGGCCTGATTCTGGCAGGCCAAGAATAAGCCATTAGGACCAATGCCATCAAAGCCAGAATTGAAAAGTCGAGGACAGATCCCTAATGTAGACTCTGCAAGAAGCAGATGAAACAATAGATCACATCCTCAGCTGCTGCAAGAAGATCGCGCAGACAGACTACAAGCAGAGGCACAACACCATTGCTCAATGATTCAATGGAACTTGTGCCACAAATACTATCTGCCTGCAACAAAGAACTGGTCCAAGTTTGCCTATACCTGATCTACACTGAAGAATGAATGCAGTTTGGCTCCACTTTAAATGCCAGGGCTCAATGCTAGGGGGTCATGGGAGTGATAATAGTCTGCTAACCTACATCACCAAACTACAGATCCCAGGATTCCATTATAGCAAGCATGGGCAAACTTGCCCCCTCCAGGTGTTTTGGACTTCAACTCCCACCATTCCTAACAGCCTCAGGCTCCAATCCTTTTCCCCCTCAGCCCCTTAAGCACTTGGAGGGCCCCAAGTTTGCCCATGCCTGCATTATAGCCTTGAGCCAGTTAAGTGGGGCCGAACTGCATTCATTCTACAGCAGTGGTTCTTAACCTGTAGGCTGCAGACCACCAGTGGGCTGCAAGGATGAAAATCTGGTCTGTGAGAGCCTCCTTCCTCTTTATTTATTTTATTTTATTTCTGCTCCTTTCGTGCCACCTGCCACTCCACCCCTGTCGCTGACCATGGCATATATTCTGTATCGGAAACTAGAGCTGATGTGGTATAGCCAATGCAATTTTCTGAATCAGCACCCCAAACTGAATCTAAAGTTGACCAAAAACTGATTCATAACCCTTTTGGAAATAAAGCCCGACTGCTCATTGGAGGTGAAGAATAGTAGAGGCCAAGATGAAGTCCTTTGGCCATACCATGAGAAGAAAGCAAAGCTTAGAGAAGACAAATATGCTGGGGAAAATTGAAGGAAAAAGGAAGAGGGGCCAACCAAGGGCAAGATGGATGGATGGCATCATTGAAGTGACTGGATTGATCTTGAGGGATCTGGGGATGATGACGGCCAACGGAGAGCTCTGGCATGGGCTGGTCCATGAGGTTACGAAGAGTCGGAAATGACTGAACGAATGAACAACAACAAAACCCTTTTGGTACTAAAGTTGGAGCGTGGTCCCTGATCAAGTGTCCCTGGTCAAAACAAGGTTGGGAACCACTGTAATACAGTTTAGAATCTACACAATTCCTCACAGCTGTAGAAGTCCAAAACACCCGTAGAGCCGAAGTTTGCCCATGCCTGGTGTTGATACACCATTTGGGCAGCCAGTCTCCAGCTCAGAACACGTGCTTCAATGTTAATGGTGCTGGGAAGGCATTGGGCAAATCACACTGTCTCAGCCTCAGAATAAGACAAGGGCAAACCGCCTTCTGAACAAAGGTCCATTGGAGGCTCCTTCTTTGGGGGTTTTTAAACAAAGGCTGGATGACCATCTGTCAGGAGTGCTTTGAATGCAATTTTCCTGCTCCTTGGCAGGGACTGGATGGCCCGCAAGGTCTCTTCCAAATCTGTGATTCTATGATTCTATGAAATCTGGTGGGGGTGGGGAAATCTTGCTTTAGGTTTGCTTTAGGGCTGCCAGAAGGAGGAAATGAAGGCACACAACCACAAGAAAGGTGATTGCAACACACACGCCCTCCCACTCAACTCCGAAAGTGCTTTCAGCAGACCTCTTAAATTGCCAGCCGGTATATAACTTGAGGTGTATTTAAACTAGAGAATTTATATGATTACACACCACTTGAATTGCCATGGCTCAATGCTATGGAATCATGGGTGCTGTAGTTTCACAAGGTCTTCAACTTTCTCTGCCAAAGTGTGCTGGTGCCTCTCCAAAGTACAATGCCCAGGTTTCAATAGCATTGACCCATGGCAGTTCAAATTGTGCCAAACTGCATTAATTCTTCACTGTAGATGTTCCCTTGGAGTTGAATGCAATGGAGTTTGAATAAGTATAAGAATATTCCACTGTTGTCAAGTAAATTCCAACAACTTTATCTATTTATTGATTTAAGATATTTCTACCCTGCCTTTTTCCGTGGCTGGACCCAAAGTGGTTTACAGCATATAAAACGCACAATATCAACAATAAAACATAAAATGCAAAAGTTAAAATATACTCAAAACACATATATGATAAAAACCAACTTCCAACCATAACATGTGATCAGATTCATTATCAATGCTATTCTATCTGAAATTGTGCACTGACCTTAGTCTTCGTAAATTGCACTGAAGCACCAGGATTCTCATTTGGCTCTTAACTCATAAATTCCACTGTTTTCTATGGGTATGTTGCACAATCCTACAATTGGCCAGCCATCCAGTTCTATCTGGCATAGACTTTTGGTAACAGTACGCAAGACTGCAGTCTAGATGACGGCCAATTGTAAGAGAAACAAGTTGACATGCCCAGATCACTTCCAGGCATTACTGTTACTATCACAGGAGGAAAAGTGTTTATTTTATATAATTATAACAAATGCAGCCCTGAACTTACCAGTCTTGGAAAGCTGCAAAACATCACAACAAGAAATTTAATCCAAGAGTGTGTCTTTCATTTTTAGAAACATTCAATCAATAGATTCCAGACTGGATTAAAATAGGTAGTAATTTGGTCTATTATTAGAAGGAACAAACTTCGTTATGGTGTGCCTTCAAATAATTCCTGACTTAGTGAACTCAAGGTGAAAACTCATTTCCTGCTTGTTAAAACATAATATTTTTTTGTGTGTTAATCTGGTTTTTCCCCTTAATTTAGCTAAAACATATGGGTGGTTATCTGGCACAATTGTGCATACCCGCCAAAGATGTTTTTGTAGATCAAATTTCAATGTCATTCATATTTATTATAAAGTCCTCCCTTTTACAGCTTTTGCTAGTCCTTGTTTAACACTTCCAAAAATATGTTTCAGAATTAACAAATTTCAGAGGATAATCTTGCTTTGCCTAACTGGTTTATTTTATTTATTTGTATATTATTGTCATTGGCTTCATTGTGATATGGGGTATTCTATTATTATCAAAGTCAACTGTTCATTATGGTGGGATTATCAAAGGTTTTTTGAGCGGGAGCTGGGGATGTTTGCCTTTGCTTTTTTTGGGTGTGACTTTCCCAAGGTCACCTAGTAGGGAGTCACAATATTGTATCCAAGAGTCCTAGTCCAACGTTCAAGCTATTACACCACATGGCATTGATTGAAAAGAAAGTTTAAAATAATATAAACAGATGCTTTGTTGTGCACATCACATTATAGCATTTCTAAGAAAGGTGTTACTTAGTCTGATTTTTTAAAACATGGCCCCTTTGAGAAGGATCAACTAGAGTAGGATTTCACTGCTTAAGAGGCAGCACTACATTGAGGACTAGTCAATAATGCTCATATTATGACATTTTTTTTAAAAGTGCACTACTGAAATTTCTTCTTTTGCTGATATGGGGATTGCCATATTTCTTCTGCTCCAAGTCATCACATTTATATGGGCAGATCACCAAGTGATCTGCTAGTCTTTTCTTTTTCAGAGGTTGACATGGGTAGTTCCATCTTTGAGCTTAAAGATGGCTGGATTTTTGGACTTTTCTGTCTCGTCCCACATTCCACGTACTGTAACTTCCCACCTGGTGAACATTTCTGGAATGCCTGGAAAACTGCTTTTTGGCTGTATGTGACATCTGAGTGGTTCTAATAAAAATACTGTATTGGCATTCATACCCCTCTGTTTTACTTTGAGCCAAGGTTAA